CAGATACTTTTGTTCCACAACTTGAAAAGGGAAAACAGCAATGGACATTATGGATTCACAGCTTGGAAGGCAAAAACCGAAAGGAGCAGGCAATACCACCCATCTCCAGCAGAGGCCGTCAGAGCTTATGAGAAAAGAGCACAATTCCGAGAAATACAACACCGCCTCCAGTGTCTCACCATGGAGATGTTCATACGTCCCTTTTCCATGAACCCTAACAGTGAGCAGAACCAAATGGTGTCTATAATGAAAAAACAGAATGAGATAACATCAATGCTGGTGCATCAGCAATGCCTTTTATCGCTGCCTAAAAGAAATATCCAAATATTTGATGGCGACCCTCTACAGTACCATGCTTTTATGCGGTCTTTTGAACAAGTAATTGAGGAAAAGACTGTTAATGCTGAAATGGTCTGCATTTTCTGGAACAGTACACCAGGGGGCAACCACAACAACTTGTCAGGAGCTGTCAACATTTGACTGATGGTTCAGGCTATGCAAAGGCAAAGACTTTACTGCATGAACATTTTGGAAATGAGCATATGATAGCATCTGCCTATTTGGATAGGGTCTCTTCATGGCCAGTGATTAAGCCAGAAGATGGAAAGGCTTTACATGCATACAGCCTGTTTTTGCGTGGATGTTGCAATGCCATGGATGAGGTTCATAGCCTGTGTGAATTGAATACACCTGCCATTATGATTACCGTGATTAAAAGATTACCCTACAAATTGAGAGATTTGTGGCGAACAGTGTCATGTGGCATCCAGGAAACGCATCATCGGAGAGCTATTTTTGCTGATATTGTGGATTTTATGGAGCGTCAAGTGAAGATTATAACCGATCCTGTGTTTGGAAATCTACAGGATGTACCAGTGTTGGTGGCAAATAAAGAAAGCGGCAGGACAAGATCACTTCGCTCAGGGGCTAGGGGAAGTAGCTTTGCCACTGCTGCTACTACAGTTGAAAAGACACTAACAGAACACAAGGTTAAAGATGGACATTTACCTGAAAGGGTTTGCCTGTACTGCAAAGGTGGACACGTGCTGGAGTTTTGTACTCTGCTGGAGAAGAGAGCTCAAAGTGAGAAGATTGATTTCCTAAAAAAGAATGGAGTTTGTTTTGGCTGTTTGTGTACTGGTCACATCAGTAAGGAGTGTAGGAAACGTCTTTCTTGCAAAACATGTGGCTCAAGGCACCCTAGCATGCTTCACATCCACCACAAGGACAGAAGAGCAGATGCAGAGAAGGGTAAGAGCAACTCAGAGAGTGCAGTGGGCAGTTCTTTGGTTGCAGTCCAAACCAGTGGTCTTACTGGGGCCGGCGAACAAGATTTCAAGCTCGCCATCGTACCAGTAAAGGTGAAATCAAAGAGTGGGCAAAGGATAGTGGAGACCTATGCCTTTTGGACCAGGGCAGTTCAGCATCCTTCTGCACAATGGGTTTGATGAATAGATTGAATCTCTCTGGGAGAAAAACAAAGATTCTTTTGCGCACCATGGGCCAAGAGAGAATTGTTGACAGTTGTATTGTGTCAGACTTAGAAGTGGCTGGTTTGGACAGTGGCTGGTATTGTGAAATGCCAGATATCTTCACACAACCTAGGATGCCTGTAAATAGGAGTAATATCCCACGACAGGAGGATTTGCATAAATGGCCTCATTTGAAACATGTGTACTTGTCTGAGATAGATACAGATGTGGAGCTTCTGATAGGCATGAACGTACCCAGAGCTTTGGAACCACTTGAAATCATCCGGAGTGTGGACGAAGGGCCGTATGCCATCAAGACTATGCTTGGTTGGACGGTAAATGGACCCCTTGGTGGAGAATGTCGTGATGAACCTGGTGTGTGTCAGTCTGCATTTACCATCAACAGAATTTCTGCTGTAACACTGGATGAACTCTGGAAACAACAGTTCAAGACAGACTTTCCAGAGTGCAGTCATGAGGAACAGCTAGGACTTTCAAGGGATGACTGCAGGTTCTTAGAAATGGCTAACAGCTCTGTGAAATTAGTTGATGGCCATTACAGTATTGCTTTACCTCTGAAAGATAGAAAGGTGAGCATGCCTAACAACCGTAAGATTGCAGAACAACGCACCCTTAACCTGAAGAGAAGGTTTATCAGAGACTCATTATTCCATAAGGACTACACTGCTTTCATGAATAACCTTATATCCAGTGGCTATGCAGAGAGAGTGCCAACCACGGATCTGGATCGCAGTGATGGAAGGGTCTGGTATATCCCACACCATGGGGTATACCATCCAAGGAAAGGAAAGATCAGAGTTGTCTTTGATTGTGCAGCATCATTTCAAGGTGCATCACTCAACGCACAACTCCTGAATGGTCCTGATTTGACTAGTACGTTGATTGGAGTCCTGACCAGGTTCAGGAAGGAGCCTGTTGTTCTGATGTCTGACATTGAGGCAATGTTTCATCAGGTTCAAATTCCAGAGGAGGATGCAGACCTGTTGAGATTTCTTTGGTGGTCCAGTGGAGACCTCGGTCAGTGTTTGGAGGAGTACAGGTTGGTTGTTCATTTGTTTGGGGCAACGTCTTTTCCGAGCTGTGCTAACTTTGCTCTTCGAAGGTGTGCAGAAGACAACAAAGACGACTTTAGCCAGCAAGTGATTGAGACCATCATGTACAGTTTCTATGTGGATGACTGCCTTGCTTCTGTAGCCTCAGAACAGGAAGCTATATCCCTCTATAAGGGCCTTAGAGCAATCTGTGCCAAGGGTGGCTTTCATCTAACGAAATGGATAAGTAACAGTCGCAGTGTGTTGGCGTCAATACCTGAGGAGGAGAGAGCAAAGGAAGTTAAAGACCTGGATCTGGACCATGACTCGCTACCTGTTGAGAGAGCACTGGGAGTGCGTTGGTGCATCCAATCTGACACCTTTATGTTTAGCATAACTATTCAGGAGAGACCATTGACCCGCAGAGGGATCCTTTCAACTGTTAGCTCCTTCTACGACCCTCTGGGATCCTAGCTCCTGTGGTCTTTATAGCTAAAAGAATTCTCCAGGATCTGTGTCGGAGCCGTCTAGGATGGGATGACTTCATACCAGTAGTGGTTGCCCAGGAATGGATAGACTGGTTGAAGGAGCTACATCATTTGGAAGGCTTCAGCATTAGAAGATGTTTAAAACCTTTGAACTTTGGAGAAGTATCCACTGCTCAGTTGCATCATTTTGCCGACGCAAGTGAGGTAGGATATGGCACTGTTACCTATCTGCTGCTGCGTAACGAACACTCTCACATACACAGCGCCTTCATAATGGGAAAATCCAGGGTGGCACCTTTAAAGCCTGTGACTATCCCACGTATGGAGTTGATAGCTGCTGTTGTAGCAGCTCGTATGGACAAACTGTGGAGAAAGGAGCTAAGACTACAGCTTCAAGACTCTGTGTTTTGGACAGATAGTACCTCTGTCCTAAAATACATTAAGAATGAAACTTCAAGATTTCGAATCTTTGTGGCAAACAGGGTCTCAGAGATTCTCAAGGTTTCTGATGTATCTCAATGGAGATTCGTGAACACCGCACACAATCCCGCAGATCTTGCCTCCAGAGGTGCGAAGGTGGAACCATTCTTGAATAATAAAACTTGGATTTCTGGTCCCTCATTTCTCTTACAATCAGAAGAAGATTGGCCTGATAACCCAGATGAATTGCAGGAGCTTCCACCTGGAGATCGGGAGGTCAAGGTGTCAGCTGCAATTGAAGTCTCTACAATTAGGGATGAAAATGACACCATGACTTGTTTGATCAATCGTTCCTCATCTTGGACACGTCTAACAAGAGTGATGGGCTGGGTTCTAAGATTTAAGGCTTTGTTTCTGAATCTCAGAAGAAGTAAGGAGGCCACTGCATGTCTTACTCGGTCGAATACAACGCAACAGGAAGATGGCCTCACAAAGGACTTGTGTGATTTCAAGAATAAGCTCTGCAGTGGTTATCTCTCATTGGAAGAGATCCAAGAAGCTGAAATTGAAATAATTATGTTTTGTCAGAAAAAAAGGTTCTCAGAAGAGTTCGCCTGCCTCCAAAAGGGAGAAAGTGTAAAAAGAAACAGCCATGTTTACAAACTCAATCCAATATTGGAAGATGGTGTGTTAAGAGTTGGAGGACGGTTAAGTAAGGCTGCCATGCCTGAAGAGTCGAAACATCCTGCCATATTAGCTAGAGACCTTTATATTTCTGACCTCATTCTACAACATATACATCGAGAGGTCGGCCATGGAGGTAGAAATCATATGTTGTCAAGACTACGCCAGAGATACTGGATCCCTGGTGTTAGCGGTTCCATAAGGAAGATCTTGGCAAGATGCGTGGTGTGTCGGCGGCTACATGGGGCTGCAGGTCAACAGCAGATGGCTGATTTGCCTGAAGACAGAGTTTCTTCTGAAGAACCTCCCTTCAGTCATGTCGGAGTTGACTACTTTGGTCCGTTCGAGGTCAAGCGTGGTAGGAGTCTTGTAAAAAGATATGGAGTTATCTTCACGTGTTTAGCAATAAGAGCAGTACACATTGAAGTCGCCTCATCATTGGATACAGATTCTTGCATTAATGCACTGCGACGCTTCATTGCAAGAAGAGGACAGGTCAAAGAGTTGCGGTCAGACAATGGCACCAACTTCGTCGGCGCAGAGCGTGAGTTAAGACGAGCCATTGAAGGATGGAACTTGGAACAGATCAATGATGCACTATCGTTAAAAGGAATTAAATGGACCTTCAACCCTCCCACTGGATCACACCATGGAGGAGCATGGGAGAGGTTGATTCGTTCTGTAAGAAAGGTCCTTAACTCTACTTTAAGGACACAAAGTCTGGACGAGGAAGCACTCTGCACAGTGCTCTGTGAAGTGGAATCAATTCTCAACAGTAGACCCATCACCAAGGAATCGACAGATCCCAACGATTTGGAAGCATTAACTCCGAACCACCTTCTGCTTCTCAAAACTAAACCATGTTTACCTCTTGGATTATTTCAGAAAGAGGACATGTATGCACGGCGAAGATGGAAGCAAGTTCAATACATGGCTGACTTGTTTTGGAAAAGGTGGACTAAGGAGTATTTGCCACAACTGCAGGAACGACAAAAATGGACCAAGATCAGGCGAAATTTCATTCCTGGAGACATCATATGTGTAGTGGATGATTCTGCACCCCGCAACTCTTGGATCATCGGAAGGATAACTGAAGTGTTGCCAGACAGAAGAGGACTTGTAAGACAAGTTTGGATCAAGACTCAAACCAACCATATATGCAGGCCTGTGACCAAGATCTGCCTTCTCCAGGAGTCAGCTGAATCCTGATTACTGTCTACTTGACTTTTGACTGAATGGACTGGACTATTTTTTGACTTTTTTCGTCTGAGAGAAGCCAGAAGATTGTCTCAATTTCATGATGGACTGTTAATAATTTTGTACACATTTTTTCCTTCCCCTGCATGTGTAATGTGTGTGTAATTATTACTGTGTGATAGCTGTAATAATTAGGGGCCGGAATGTAAGAGCCTGGTATTGTTTCATTTTATGAACACATTCTTTTGGTTACTTACGGTAATTAAGGCACCTGGTGGCGGTGGAGGAAGTGAGTCTATATCATCTTCTCACCTGTGGGGTTCGGGAGGAAGGAGAGGGGGTGACGGGGGAAGTCTTATTTTTGTTGACCGCTGTAGAACACGTCGTTTGATGCTGTCTGTGTTTGGAGACCATTTCATATGCAAGTGAAACAATTACTATGGATGGAATGTATTGGACACACAACCTTGTTCATATTTAACACAACTAAATAAATCTACAAAACGCAATCTTTGGATTCAGGTTCATTTAAGCAAGCGCGTCTGGCAATAGTTTCCCCTACTCAGTCTCTCGGCCGACAAATTATTTTATCTTTGGATTGTCGCCCACAGTATATTTAGTTACTCATATGCTAAAATGTACTGTAAATGTTCTTGGGTTGTTCCTTCACTTTAATGAGCAACACTAGATACAGTTATCCTTCACACAGAAATAGCATTGTCATACCAAGATAAGATACCCCCCCCCACAAGCACACAAACAGCCCAATGCCAAAAAACACAGGAATGAATGACTGTACAACTGACACGAGATTAAAAGAAAGGTGACATCATCCAACCATTTTTGACTGGACATAGACCCGCCAGTGATATGTTCAGTGGTGATGCCCCCTAGTGGCCACCAAAGATGTGCTTTTATCTCTTTCTGAGATATCCGTGTCTACGTTTGCCATTTGTATATGTTAATGATAAGACCACACACACCTGATCCAGATCTTGCTTCCACTCAGGTCGTAGTACTGGCCGCAGGGTGAGCGAACTGCAGTGGTTTTAATGGAGGCTGCATCAGAACCGCTCGCTGGTTCAGTGAGACAGAAGGCAGCGATGTTCTCTCCTACCAGAAACACACAGCACAGAGTTAGCATTCAACAACTAGCGACAATATTCAGATTAGTGGTCGTCATTAAGTCTAACATTTTCAGATAATAGTCCGTTTCTAAACATAAAACTGACAGTGAACTAAGAGTAAAGACAATAGACACACACAGACATATTAAACATTTGTAAATGCAGTGATGCAAAAAGGCAAAAGTGATGTTTGGAGGGGATATTTGTTTTTAAATGTCCATACAAGTTTGATTAAACCATCAAAATGTGAGGAAAATATATATTTTTTTTAAATATGAGGCAAGAACAAAATACTAAACGTGGTTAAGGTATTTATTTGACAAAATTGTTTGGCAAAAAAGGCAAACTACAGATACAGGTTTTATTTTACATTTAAAAAATTGCTATAAAAGAAAAATAAACAAGAAAAAGCATACATTTTGACTACTGCATAATTAGTTATGAATATTTTGTTGATTCTTGCCAAAAATGAGGCCCGCACAATTTGGCATTTTTCATCGTGTTATCATCCATAAAATAATTGACTCCAACCACAACTATACAAAAAACGGAATTATTTTGTAATAATATTTGAATAAATGGTGATGTCAATTTTCTCTTTTGGCCACTACTGTATGTAAACAGTTTAAAACTAGGGTTGTCAAACGATTAATCGCGATTAATCGTATCGCAAATAAAAGTTTGTGTTTACATAATATATGTGGGTGCACTGTGTATAAATATTTTATATATATAAATACACACATGCATGTATATTTAAGAAAAAAATTGTATTTATATATAAAATATTTATATTTATATATAAAATATAAATTATATATAGATCTATATACAGTATATACATGAAAATATTTCTTAAATATACACAAGCATGTGTATGTATTTATATATATAAAATAATTATACATACATTATGTAAACACAACTTTTATTTTGGATACGATTAATCGTGATTAATCGTTTCACAGCCCTAATGTAAACATTAATATAACCATGCATTATATTTGTTTACAATGCTTTAAAGAAAGGCCATGCATTTTATGATGTGCATTAAACATAACTTTTAAATCCTAGACGCACAATTTCTTACAATCACGACACTCCCATTTGAATATGGACAAATGTTATGACTATTCCTAAAATATATGCTAGAACTGCAAGATTAATGATAAATATATATTAAAACAGTAATCACGATTTTGAACAAAATAACGTAATTTACTAGAGGTTCTGACAAAATGTTAATTACCACTCTCTATGTAAAATGTTTAATCAATGTGAATGAATTATTTAAAAACATCGGTTTGAATGAATGATTCAATGACTCACTTGGTTCATTACTGGATGAATCAGTGTTTTTGAACGATTCTTTTGACTGAATGCAACAATACAATCGTTAATTGAAGAAGGAAGTTACTTTCAAAAGGATTTTCTCTATTTTGATCACTTCCATAGACATCAGCGTTTATATCCAAACTAAAACACGTTATCCTAGTACTTATCTGATAATATGACTCTTTAAACGATTAATCGTGCAGTCACTCCTCCTACTTTGCACTCCACTAAATCCCACTCACCAGTGGCCAGCTTTGGGAGGTACTTCTCTTTCTGCTGGGGGTTACCAAACAGCAGGATGCCCTTGAAGCCAATGGACTGATGGGCGCCAAGAGTGATGCCCACACCCAGATCATGCATCCCAACAATCTCTACCAGCCTGGCGTACTGCAAACAGAGCAGCAATATTCATGTGTATCTCAAGGCTTCGGCTAGTTTATGCATCTGCCTCCTGCACAGGTGGATTGTGACCTTACCTGTGTGTTGGTGAGGCCAACGCCACCAAGATCTGCGGGCACCTGAAGACCAAAAGCTCCCATCTCCTTCAGGCCTTCCATTGTGCGTTCCTCCACCATCTCCAGAGCATCATTCTTCATGGGGTCGTTCACCTCCTGAAAACACACAACGGCACATTGCAAAGAAGGTGAAAGGACTCTACCCATCCCTATGCATTTACACCAAACTCCCAGTTCCTGGTACAGTATTCTGCCAAAGCAAACTGGTTATTCAGTGTCTATCACAAACAACTAATGATATTATAATTCTGTATGCATGTATATAGGTGTAAATGGTGTATATAGTGTATAAAATGTAATTTAATTCCTTTGATCAAAGCTGAATTTTCAGCATCATTACATTTGCTGTTCAGGAGACATTTATTTTGATCATTTAGGGCTGCGTGATTCTGGACACATTCAAGACGCCATCAAGATATCACGATTCTGAACAGACAACTAAAGAAAATAACAATTTACTTGAGGTTCTGACAAAATGTTAACTGATGCAGTCTATAAATGGTTAATTAAAGCTACACTGTGTGATTTTTACCCCCATCTAGCGGTGAAAAGATATAGGACCATCCAGTGAACATTAGTTTCTGTTCCTCTCAACTCCTACGGTGGCCAATGTAGTCCAAGATTAACATGGCTTCCAGTTCGACCGCGTCCATGAGTGTTAACTCAAACGTAAACGCAAAAGGCAAAGCTTGAATTAACGGGTATGTCCCTCTTTGGCTAATTTCAAGATTGTACTTTCAAGATGGAGGGGTAACATGGCGAGCGACATAAGAACCCCTTACCCGTATGTATTTTCAACGGCATATTATACACTCACGAGAATACTTTATTACTTGAACGAAGTAAATATACATTAATGAGCACACATATTTTTGAAAGAACTAAGTGTTTTTAGCTAAGAATACACTAAAAGAGTTACACAGTGTAGCTTTAAACGTACAGTATGTCATTTTTGGCCACCAGGGGTCGCTAATCTCTTACAATAACAAAGGCGTATATCGATGACGCAAAGCATCAAGCGGAATTACGGATCTTGTCGTCAAGCTGACGGATGTTTTATGGATGAGTGAATACGGTGATGTTTTTTAACCCTCAGGTGCTCTTTGGTCATTTCTGACCGAAAAATTTTCTGTTTTGAAATTTTAAAAATCACAGCTTCATCCGAATGTTACGAAACTGGCATTGGGTATGTGAACACAAAAAAAAAATTGAGGTCATGATCCGAGCAGGCTAAGTGGTCGTAAAAAAAAAGTCACACTTGTGCTTTTCGGTCAAAAATGACCGACCATAGGAAATGAATGGGAAATTGACAAAAAATGAAAAAAAAAAAAAAACTATAACTATATATTCAAATCCACCACCACCAACAACAACAAAATGTGTTCATAAACAGCTGGGGAATTCACATGCCTCTCAATAGAGAGCTGTACATGCCATCTAGTGGTTACACCATGATTCTACGCCTTTTCTCTATACTGTAACCAGATGGTGCTAATTTTCTTCAAAAAGTTTTTTTTTTCTGAAGGCCTAGACTCTATATTAAACTAAAATACTGCATTAATGTTTTTGAGAAAAAAAATAATATATATATTAGGGCTGTGCAAAAGTTAATTGCGATTAATCGCATGCAAAATAAAAGTCTGTGTGTACATAACATATTTGTGTGTGCTGTATATAATTATTTTGTATATATAAATACCTATGCATGCATGTATATATTTAAGAATTATTTGCGCTTAAATTCTGTACATATTTATAAATACATAATCTATATTATATAAATATTTTATATATGAATAACACATTTTCTTAAATATTTACATGCATGTGTGTGTATTTATATATACAACATAATTATATACAGCACACACAAATATATTATGTAAACACAGACTTTTATTTTGGATGCGATTAATCGCAATTAATTTTTGCACAGCCCTAATATATATATATATATATATATATATATATATAGAAACATATATATATATTTTTCCATGGCAAAAATAAACCATAAATATTGCATAAATATTAATAAATTCAATTAAATTGTCTCAAAATACTTAATTAAAAAGAATAAATATTATAGAACAAAAATAAATTGCATTGGTTTTACTGGGATGGAGAAAGTTTCATTTTTAGGTGTCCGGTCACTTTTGACCGGGAAGATAACAAGTGTGACTCCGAAACGAAGAGCACCTGAGGGTTAAATTTGTCACTCATTGTTTGAGTTTTCAATGCTATGTGTTTAGCTTTATTTAGTCTTTATCAAGAATTTAAGAAAATCAGTCTATAAAACAAAATGATTCTAAAGCAGAAATGTAGGTGAATTAAACTTACTTCAAAAAACTTACTGCACGGCCCAACCAACTCATTGAGGAACTGCGCCTGCTCCTCATTGAGCACTACAGGGGTGGAGGAAAAAAACATTCAGGGCAAAAATAACTGTAAACACACTGAAGAGTGAGTATAATGAATAACAACAGTACAACGAAGCCTGAAAGCGAATGCTAAAAACAATATAATTCAATATTTTTCAATTTTGGCAAATATAACATCCGGTGGTGATGGTGATATCAAAGCGACGCATCTAAAATATCTTTAGTTGCAGGAAAAGAAAACTTGGCAGTCACCTGAGGGGAAGGGGAACACCTGAGAAGTGCTGATTTGCCCTTTAAACATGTTGACAGCAAAAGATTTTGACTCCTGAGAAAAAAAAAAAAAAAAAAAAAAAAAAAAAAAAAAAAGAGTTATGAGACTTTCATAATAATGCTAAAAATGGTGCAGTGTGTGCGTAACACTCACGTACCACATTAAGAGCCGTCTTCTCAACCTTCTCAGCTGTCGTGGCGGCGTCCCTGCCGACTACATTCTTGTCCAGGACAGCCTTGGTTAAAATAACAAGAGCAAGTTATCGTTTTGTTTATATGCATGTAAGAAAATTGGACAGAAATCTACAGTATGACATTTTGTCAGTATTGAACAACCAATAGGCTAATCTTGCTAATGACTTATTTCATTGGTTTAAAGTAATTCTAAAACAATTAACTAGATAAATGAGAATGAGCTACCAACAATCTTGTGTTCAACAGAAGAAAGACACTCATGCAGGTTTGGGGGTAATGTAAACGATGACAAAATGTTCATTTATGGGGTGAACTGTCCCTTTAAGAGGGTTCAAGGACAATATGACAAAGTGGAATGTAAAGATTTCAATGGCTGCCAAGTAGAGCAAAGAGCAAAGACAAGCATCACATAACCTCCGCTCACACACAAACAAACCAATAGCGTCCTCATACACACCAGCATGATACTGAATCAATCATAATAACATTTAATATTTTCACCACCAACTTCATATATTTATTCAGTGATCAGATTTGCTGTAAGTCAAACACAATATTTACATAACAGTAATACCGCATGGCAAAAGCTCCTGCGTGTCATGTGACCTGGACGTGAACTTTACTCCAGATTTATATTAATGGGTGTCTGAGGACAAACACCTGTCTTTTTTCCATGACACCGGACCAGATGGACTACAGCATGATCTGTTATGGTCACAAAGTAGATAAACTGACTGTGTGACATAACCTAGGTTTGAAAAAAATACTACTGAATACACTATAGAGATGTAGCGACTGGTCTCACCTCTGCAGCTTGGCTCGAATACAGACGAGAATTCTGCGCTGCCACGAGAGCCCCAGTTTGGCGCTGCACTCTGACAAACGAGAGAAAGTCATACTTAATCATATTATAATAGTGGTAGAAAATGTTTCTCTCACGGTCATGTCATATATTGTAATTACCTCTTCTGCATAATTCTCAATAGTCAATACACACACAAAAACACATACATACATATATATATATATATATATATATATATATAAGCTATATTTAAAGGAGTAGTAGTACTGATAATTTACTCACCCC